TGATCAATTAAACTGTTATAAATACGGATAGCAAGATATGACAATAATGAAATAAAGTAGCAAAATAAATAACACAGAGATTTACGCGAAGACCCAATTTGAGAAAAACCATGACAGAGGAGAAGAAAATTTACTATAATCAATAGGAATGTGTTTACAATATCAAGACTCAATATTCTAAATTGAATCTAAGCTCTCAAGACTCTATTCACTCAATTGAATCTAAGCTCAGAAGATGTTGTAGATTTGTTCTCTTAAGGTTTTTCTCTCAAAACTCATGAAAACTCTATTTTTTAAATACAATGGACGACGTATTTTATTTATAGAGACATCCAAAAACCTAGGTGTAGACCAATAGAAGTCTAAAAACGCATTAAAACGCCAAAAAATTGAAACTACCTAGATAACACTGTCAGCGAGTGACCTTGCTATCGCTTGAGCGACAAGCTGGCAGGAAGCAAGCGACGGTTGTTCTACTCCAAAAGCTCGAGCGTCCAGCTAGCGAAATTGCGGCATATTTCTTCTCCTGATCCATATTTATGATCTCTTCAAGACCAACTTAACTATTACTCCTAAAACCCCAAGAATTCGGGTCACGCTACAACAAATCTCCATCTTGAACCAAATTCCTAAACGCAAGGAATTCTATAATACACGTCTCCAAGTAAACACTACTCTACCTCTTCCAAACCTCCAATAAGCTAAATCAATGACAAACACCTATTAAGTTCAAGCAATGCTCAAACTTAGCAATGAAAAGTGGTTTTGTCATCATTTCAGTAGGATTCTCCTTGGTATCAACCTTGCTCACTACAATATCACCAAGAATAATTACTTCACGCAAAAAATGGTACCTCATATCAATGTACTTAGTCCTCTTATGGAACGTCTGATCCTTAGTTAGAAATATAACACTCTGATTATCACAATACACTGTAAATATCTATAAGTCTTCACCAATTTCACCAATTAATCATCTTAACCACATAGCCTCCGTACAAGCTTCAGTATGGCCATGTACTTTGCCTTTGTTGTAGAGGAAGCTTCTGTATTTTACAAAGTAGCTTTCCAGCTGATAGCACAACCTCCAAAGGTAAATACGTACCCTATAAATGATTTCCTTTTGTCAAGATCCCATGCATAGTCTGAACCATATATCCTATGACTCCTTCTGAATTTCTTCCAAAATGCAGACAAGTATTTGTAGAGCCTTTCAAGTATTTGAGGATCCACTACACTGCTTTCCAATGTTCCTTTTCCATGATTTTCCATGTATCTGCTAACTGCAAGTACTAAATTAAGTATTGTACAAACCATAGTATACATTAGTAAACGAACTGCACTGAAATAAGGAACCCTAGACATATACGCAATGTCTTTATCTGATTGAGGACACAAATCTGCTGATAATCTGAAATGTGCAGCCAATGGTGTGCTGACAGCATTTGCATTCTGCATATTGAATCTCTGAAGTACCTTCTCAATGTACCCTTTTTGACTCAAGTATAATCTACCAGCCTTTCTGTTCCTCAAGATTTCCATTCCAAGGATTTTCTTTACTGCTCCCAAGTCCTTCATCTTGAACTCTTTACTCGGCTAAGATTTTACTTTTCTGACCTGTGTTTTATCTTTGGCTGCTATAAACATATCATCAATATATAACAGCAAGTATGTAACTGATTGATTACTTTCCTTCCTGGAATACACAAATCCTGAAGTACACAAAACTATTATAATTACAACTTTCAAAACCATTAGTAATGAACGAATCGAACTGCTTATACCACTGCCTCGGTGACTACTTCAATCCATACAATGACTTCTTCAACAAGCACACATAGTCTTCTTTTTCAAAAACTATGAACCTTTCTAGCTGTTGCATGTAGAGGTTTTCCTCAAGTTCTTCATGCAAGAATGTTGTTTTGACATCCATCTATTCAAACTCCAAATCATTCTTTGCCACAATCCAAGTAACACTCGAATTGAACTGTGCTTTACAACCGACGAGAACACATCTATGAAGTCAACATCGGGAATCTTACTGTAACCCTTTGCTGTTAATCTGGCCTTAAACCTAATATCTTCAATCCCTGATGTCCCTTCTTTCTTTTTGAACACTCACTTACAGCGTACAACCTTTTTGTCTTTAGGCAATTTCACGAAGTCTCATGTACTGTTTTTGTTCAGAGACTCTATCTCCTCCTGTATTGCAATCAACCATTTGCCAGAACCACTACAACTGACTGCCTCTGAATATGTAGCAAATTCCTCAATGGAATCAACGTCTTCAACCATGCTCAAAGTATAAGCAACCAAATCTGCTTCTCCATATCTTTGTGGAGGTTTAATCTGTTTGCGTGGTCTATCTTTAGCAATCGAATACTATGATGCTGTTAGTGGTGTAGGCAAAGTAGGTAAAGTATTACTGTCAATCTCCTCTAAACCATACTACTCTGTAACCTTTGACTGTTCCCAAAAGCCAATTTCAAACTGCACTTGAGTTGAATGATTCTGTTCTTCAAATTTACCAAAATCCACAAGAGGTCTTCCACGAATCATAGCTGATTCGTCAAATACTACATCCCTACTAATCACCACTTTATTCTCTTCTGGCTATCACAAATTATAACCCTTCACTCCTTATTTATACCCAAGAAATATGCACTTTCTAGACTTAGGCTCCAATTTCCCATTATTTACATTAGCATACGCAGGACAAGCAAGATCTTAAAATCAATGTAATAAGAAGGTTTTAGCGCACCATACATCTTTTGGTGTTTTATTTTCAATAGCCATTGGTGATGAGCGGTTGATCAGGAAACATGTTGTAGTAATAGCTTCAGCCCAGAAAAACTTAGGCAGCCCAAAATTTGAAAGCATACGGTGAACCTTTTCCATCAAAGATATATTCATCCGTTCAATCGTGTCATTCTGTTGAAGAGTTTCAAGCATTTTCAAGTGTCTCAAGATGCCTTTAGCCCTGTAAAAGTTATTGAATTCATTTGAACAAAACTCCAACCCATTATCAGTGTGTGGACGTTTCACCTGCTTTTCTACCAATATTTTCTATTATTTGAAGATCCCAAACACATCACTATTCTGCTTCAAGAAGAATACCCAAAGTTTTTTTAGAGTAATCATCAATTACTGTCATCAAGTAATATGCATCTCCCCTTGAAGTTACTCTGGTCGGCCCTAGAGATCTGAATGGATATACTCAAGTGTTCCCTTCGTGTCATGTCTTTCCTTAGAGAATCTGACCCTTTTCTGTTTTCCAAAAACACAATGCTCACAAAATTCCATCTTACTGGTCTGCTCAACTTTGCCATTCATTTTCACTCATATGCCTAAGCCGCAGTGCCAAAATTATGTGACTTCATCCTTAGTTAAAGAAAAAGTAGAAACTATTGCATCTCTTGTAACATTGGAACCTTTCAAAACGGACAGCTGTGTAGAATTCTTATGTCTCTTCATTACAACAAGAGCACCTAAGCTCACCTTCAAAATTCAACCTTCACCAATGTACTTATAGCTGTTTAAGTCAAGAAAACTCAAAGATATAAGATTTCACTTTAGTTCTGGAACATGTCTGACATCTGTAAGTGTTCTGACAATCCCATCGAACATATCAATCCTTATAGTACCAACTTCGACGATTTGCAAAACACATTGTTATCCATAATCACTGCACCTCTCGAAACTCCTTCATATATAATCATCCAGTCCTTATTTGGACACATATATGCCAAATTCAGAACCCATTCCTCACATGGTTTGGATCCCATGTCAAAGATCACAATAAGCTCTCATTCGCTTTGCTCCTTTCCACAATGTCAGCCCCCGCTGAATCAACAGAGCGCTTTTCCTTATTATTGGCAGTCGTCGCTTTGTTTCAATTTTTCAAGGCGTAACAGTCAGCTCTAATGTGCCCCTTATTCTTACAATAATGACATGTCTTCTCAATATGCCAAGACTTCGACCTGTCCATCATATTTTTGCTAACTTTCCTATCTTGACTTCTCCCACGAACAACTAGGCCCTCAGCCTGACTCTCAGATCCTTCAGCAAGATGCCTCATCTTCTCCTTAGACAGTAAGGCATCATAGACCTCCTCCATCATGAGAGTATCAAAATTATATATAATTGTATCTCTAACAGTTATATATAATGGCGGCAATGAACACAACAACATCAATACCAAGTCCTCCTCATCTTACTTAACCTCCAAAGTTTTCAAATCAGCCACAATTTCTTTGAACAAGGTTAAGTGATCATTCAATGACCCACCTTCAGACATCCTATGAGAATACAAGCGCTATTTCAAGTAAAATTTGTTGGTCAAGCTCTTTATCATGCAATGCTGCTCTAACTTCAGCCACAACGCAACGGTACTTCTCTCATTTAAAACATCCTGAAGATTTTGATTTGAAATGTGAAGATAAATCTAAGCAAAGGCTTTCCGATCCCTATGCTGCTTCTCTTATTACGTCCAGGTAGAAGGTATCTTATCAAAGTCAAGCAAGGCTTACTCTAAATCCATCTGCGCAAGTGTGCAAAGTCAACAACTGTGGGCGCAAGTGACCATTAAGCCCTCAATGTGTTAATTAGTGTAAGGTGAGATTTTCAAGGGTAAAGTGGGAAAACAATGTAAAGGAGGAAAAAAAAAAAAAAAAGGACAGACTACTGTAGCAAAACCGAATAAATTAGATTCAAGTATGAAAACGGCTGTGACATAAATGAACAGTACCCAAAGCCTCTCTTTTAAGATAATAAAAATTTAGAACACCAGATATACATGACAAGTCTTCTGCCATTTTTGGACCAAAGGGGGCAGTTCGAGCTTGGTCACCCTATAATTTTGCATCTAAAGAAGATAATGTCTTAGAAAATCGATTCAAAAATTGTCTATTAATAAGAGAATTATTGTGTTTTAATATGAATTATTTTATTTGATAATATATTGAAAGCTGGAAACAGGTTTCAAGAACAATGTTTAACTATTTTCCTGCCTAGTGCATACAGTCTAGCTGCCACAATCAAAACAATGGTGTACAATTCAAAAGTGTTTTTAACTCCGTATTCAGGTTCGTTTTAATGTAAATACAAATCGTTAACGACGAATCTTTAACGTTGCTACCAAGTTTCCATCTCTTTTTCCGTGTTCCTCTCCCCACCTCATCCTTCAAGTTCCTTCGGATTCACTTCATTTGCGATATTACCAGCGGAACTTCAGTCTGCTCGTGGGCTGCTACCGGTACTGGCAGATACTTTTTTCCCACCGTATTTCTATTATAAAACAAGAAAAAATTGTAACCAATAAGAAAGAAAACGGCAGATTAACAAGACGAGCTGCCTCAACTACTACCACACTCCATTTTTAGGAACAACGTCATATCTAAGATAAGCTGAAACGTTCTTAAGCTCACCTGCTTTCCAAGATTGAATGGGATATATTTGTACTTGATCATATGCATGATTTGGCGCTTCATTGTAAGTGCAAAAAGAACAATCCAGTAGCACAACAATATGGGCCAAAAGACGGGAACATCGAACATGGAAAAGAAGGTCATCAAAAATGCTACACAGAAAGCCTTTGTGATGGCATACCTGGAGCCACAAAAACAAGACAGCACACAATTCAATCTGAATTAGTTTTTCTTTGTTTGCCAAGAAAGAAATGAAGAGAAATCCAGAAACTGTAGGTGGACAGCAACTGTTTTAATATGCAAGCAGTGCAAACTGCAGTCTTATGACTCTTATCAATCTTTACTAGGTTGAAGAGTTGGAAGTTTGGTGCAGTATTTTAAGAAGCTTTGCCGCAAATATGCATTGTTATATTATACACGCAATAGTGATGAACGCCCACCACGTGCTCATAAAATAAATTTAAGCATCAAATCATAGTGCACCTGATACAAGAGAAAATAAAGTAGTGTACAAAATTTAACAGAAAGCAATTAACATACTCCAGCAAAAAACATCAGTATGCAAGTTGATAAAGCAGGGAAACTCTTATCAGAAAGAAGTTAAAAAAAGAACGCCATTAAGCAGGTAGACCATTCAAGATTGGATATAGCATCACCGTCAATATCCCTAAGCATTTGAAGTCATCAAAACGCATCTGTTTCAATATCCTATGAAAACCATCACAAAAATCACAGGGTAACAAGGATGCAATCCAATTAAGATCATATAGATTGATTTCTCAGCTCATCATATTTCAGTTATCAAAGCAGGAAACTCTAACTAGAAGTGACTCATGTAATTGGAAATTCAATCACTGTTCTGTAACTTTCTATATACCTGTACCTAGGGACGTTCTCCCAAGCAACCGAATATAAAATGAAAAGAATCACTGAAACAGTTACAAGCAGGAGGAACCAAACAAGAAACAGAGGTAAAAGACAATAAACTTGAAGCAACATAAAATGATCCACAACTGATCAAGACATTAAAATCAAAACAGTAGAGTCAAATCTCGCAATGGAAAAAATAAGGAGCATGAATTTCAAGAATGTTATAAACAGTACCAGAATTTGAACTCTGGGAGGCGGCGAATGAAAGGCTTGAATTCATCGGAACCTTTTGTTGGCAGCATAGGTCCATCGGACGGTTCCAGCTCGGGGTCAACAAGAGGTGACAGAAACCCAATGAGCAAATTCAGAATATAGATCCCCAAACCATAAGAAACAATGTAGAACCCTTGAACATAGTAAAGCCGCAGAGCATAAACAAATATTAAAACAAAGGTTCCAATCCAACGGTAGAGAGCGTGTGGTGTAGATTTATCTAGATAGTGCTGGAAAAGCTTTGACACTTCATGCCTCCGTTGGTTCAGTGCTGCTGTTGCTGCTGAGGCACCATCATCTCCAATACCCTCCATGAAAAATCAACTTAAGAATCCTACAAATTGGATGAAATACTTGGATCTGATGAAATGTCAAAATGAGGACCGAAATGCTAGCACGTGCTTCTTTAGGCAGCCAGAAAAATGCAAAGAGAGAAAGTAAAGAAGTAAGGGATCATGAAGTAGTTTTTTTCTTTCAATGAGTAGGTATAGGAGAAAACCACAAAGTAAAATTTAATTTTTTCTTATCTCCCCTCTAAAACCCCTATAAGCAACACTAAACACATCCACCCACAAAGTGAAAAGAAACGCTTAACTTTGAATCCATTTGTTCAGGTTGTATAAAACAACATTCCTTGTAAAATGCCAAAATTTCCCCCATTTCAAAGCCAGGTTTGATTAGCTTGCAAGACCACCACAAACCTGTGTCTCAAAAATCCAGTGGACAGTGCTAAAAAAGTCGAAGAACTTAAAACCTGCAAGGTATATCTCAACAGGTGCTCAATTGAATAACCGGGCTCATAGTTACTCAACATTTTTAATCATCGCAAAAAATGCGCAGATTAAACGAAAGAAAACATAAGTTCAAGATGAACTGTACACTAAAATTTCAACTCTTCTGCCCTACTGGAGCTGTCTCTAGTCAACAGCCCAAAACACTTAATAAACGTCTTAAATAATTTTTTAACCATGTTTTCTTGACAATAAGACAAAAAGAAGGCCAAAACTCTAATTAAACACAGAATCGCTCACAATGAAATAAACAGACAATCATAAACAGATCTGAGATTGTCCGATCATCAAATTAAAAACATACTCTTCAATAAAAATAACATATCACAATATATATATTGATGCATTTCTGATGAGAAATCTGATAGAAAAAGGCTGGGTATTTAGGTTTTACCTCTGGCAAGAACACCAGCAAATGAAAATGAATCTTCCGGGAGTTTGGAGGCGAAAATCTGATGGCACCGCTTCGGTTGAAATCTATGCAGAATCCGAGTAAAATTATAGTTCCATTATAGTTTGATCATTTTAATTATAGATAGATAGCCATTGGTGTCAAGGGGTACTTTTAAGAATAGCTTTGTCAAACCAACCATTTTTCATTTTAACCATAAAAATCTAACATTCACCACAATAGCCATTTCTTGTGTAAAAGACTAAAACGCCCTTAAATGAGTTATATAATTACAAAAATAGAAATATGGTAAAAAGACAAAAATATCCTTAAGTTACAAATAAAAATCCAAACAAGGCTCAATTGAAATTTGAAAACGAAGTCAGTCTTTTCATCAGTTTACTCTAACACGATAAAAACTCTTCCATTTTTCATCCACTTCAACCTCAAAATTTCATAAACTTATCAGTTATCAACCTCAACAGAAAAATATAATTAAATTTCAGCACTTCAATTCGGTAAGTATCTTTTCGTAGTATTTAATTTTATTTTTATTGAAATCGTATATTTTTTTTAAATGGTAGAAAAAATAATATTAGAGTCAAAGTTCAGGCCGGCACCGATCAGACGTCGGAACGACGGATTTAACGACGGTCCGGATGGTCCCGACCGTCCGTTGCAGACGGTCCGGACGGTGCGGACCGCCCGCAACGGACGGTCCGGACGTCCGGACCGTCCGGATCGCCCGTTGCCGACTGTCCGGATTCCGTTTGCAGACTCCCCCGCCCCTCGATTCTGATAATTTTTTTCTGATAATTTATTCTGATATTTTTAATTCGTAATGCAGATATGGCAAAAGCGTGTGTCCCAATCTGTTATTTCGGCGAATTTCAAAGAAAAGAAAATGGTCAATGGGAATGGAAATGGACGAGTGAAGGAGAAGGGGTTGCTGCTATTACGATAACAAAAAATACTTCGTTTACAGAAATGTACAGTGAAATACAAAACATGCTTAACGTCGATTCCTCTCAGTACGATATGGAATTGGGATTTTTATTTCAAAAGCATTCAACAATTTCGATTCCACCTTTGAAAGTTACTTCTGAAGCGCAAATAAAGCATCTAATTCAATTGAACCAAGGTCGAAAGACGACTCCTATTTGCGTAAGTTTGTTGAAGAAAAATGTCATCGAGGGTGAACACGAAGTTTTTGATGGAGAGGATCGTAATGAGAATGATTTTTGGGATACTGTTGAGATTGCTCGGGAGGATGATGTGGATATTCCTGGGGCAGTTGCTACTCACCATGATGTCACCGTTACACGAAGGATTTACGAGGAAGTTGGAGGATGATGTGGATATTCCTGGGGCAGTTGCTACTCACCATGATGTCACCGTTACACGAAGGATTTACGAGGAAGTTCAAGACAACGAGGATGAAAGGCCATTTACAAATCAGGATTTGATTGCTTTATCCAGACGGAGACATGAGTCTGGTGGGAGCTCACATGCTGGGCCGAGTACACGGTCTTCTAATTGTTCGCGTGTAGTTCCTGATGATGAAGATTTACATGTCGATCAATTGTTTGACACGAAAA